GGTGCAGAGGAGACCAACATTAAGATCTTCTGAGGAAGAAAATAGACATACTTTTAAAATGTGCCTGCTGACTATAGTTTATTTTGGCTCACAGTGGGTTTTAGCTAAAGGTATCTATATAAGACTGTGGCAAGTAGCTGCAATCAGGACTGAAGTGTGTTAGAAGGACCATGTAGAAAAGCTTGTCCCTTGCCTGCCTCCAGCTTCCTCTCTAGCCAGAGAAATCACTTGTAGGCGCATTGGATTAACTTCAGAAAGGGATCTGAACTACAGTCTCTTTCAGATGCCTAGAAGATTAATAACACATTAGCATCTCGGGTAGTCAAGTTAACAGGAAGCATTAACTTGATCCCAAAACCTGATAAAGTTGGACATTCTGCTTAACTAACAAGAAGCAGCAGGGCATACTAAATAGCTCACCTTTAGGACTTCCTCAGAGATATCTTTCTGTAGTTCTTCCAAGAACAATAAAAATTCAGTTTCTTTCTGAAGAACAACTGGAACAGTTTTCTAAAACAATGTTAGAGAATAGGAAAGACATTAGCCAATAAAGATTCTGTTTATTTACTTTTATTTATTCATATTTATTCATATAAACCTCATCTTAGCTGTCTCATTAATATTTTGAGGCAAACTGAAATACCTCTCTGAAGATACCTAATTCTCAATCACAGGGTATTCCACAATTAGGTTCTACTTCCATACCAGTGGATTCCATTTATCCATACATTTGGAAACAGAAGTCACGAATTAGAATCCCATGAATTCAAGATATCTTTCCTCAGAAAGTAAAAATGTAAGTCTAATCAGTGACAAGGACAAAAGAATTTTTTAAAAAAGTATAATCACACATCCCAGTGTACCAAATGGAAAAAAAAAAAAAAAAGGAGGAAAAAATACAAAAAATACCAGTTTCTCCTTTATTCATGAAACATACAGCACCTGTCTGAAAACAGCAAATACATCCATCTAAAGCTTAAAAAGAACTGTCTGATGCTGGAGCTATTTCATCTTTAACGTGAGAAAGGTGCCACTCAAATGCAGAAGTCGATACACTCATGCTTTCCATTTACAGAAATGCTCAGTGTTACAAAGCCAACTTCTGTTATCTAAACCAAATAAAAACCCCAATTTTCCTCTCCAGTGTGGAGAAGATTAACAGTTGTGTCTTGACAAGTTTGTTAAAAGCAAAAGCAATGCACCTCTCCAGCTACCTTAACTTAATTCCATGAAATACGGGAGAAAGCCTATAGCTTAAAATAAGCAACTAATCAGATACTTTGCACTTGGAAGTCAGAGCTATACATCACACTTGGAAGTCAGCTGGATGTTTCTGTACCTGATTTCTGGCAAGCCATTTTTCCAGCACAAGAAGCCAAAGCCATGCAGTTCTCCATGGGCTAGAATTCTGTCCCCATCTACAAAAGCAATAAACACATACACTGGATTATACAAGGTCATTCCTATCTCTGAGATCCAGGAAAACACTGTCATTTTGATTTTTATATTTTTTTTAATATAAGATAAAACCAAAGATGACTAAATAGTTGGAAGACAAGTCAGACTCAATGAAAATACAGAGAAACCAGAATATTGATACTACTTATACATTAACTCAACGATTTCTGCTGTGCAAATAACTGCTTTTAGATCTGCCAAAGACCAACACTACTGCCATAGTTCTTTGCTTCAAAACAGTGAAATTTATTTCTGGTCTAAAGTTCAGTCTGTATAGCCCTCCAAGCACTTCAGCAGATTTCTTTGAAATCTGACCACTTGCCAAACACTGCTATTTCCTGTTCTAATTCTAGCCAAAAAAAAAAAAAAAAAGAAACTAAGTTTTAGGTCACAAGTGCAACTCTGCGTCCAAACTAAAAGTGCAGTAATTTACTAATTAAACAAAGAATACTTCTAATTTCCATCAGCTTTTCATGTGGTCCAGTACTTACACACACATTCCAAAACCTTCACAGTTAGGGAACATATTCAGTACTGTAAAATGGACTAGGAAAAGGAAAAAGTACAAGATAGTTTATTGGCCTTTAAAATGTCAGCACTGCTAACTAAAGCCTCTAGATGTGAGAGCCAACTATCAAAGATAAAAAGATCAAAAAATGCTTACATCTCACGTAGCCATTAGCAATATTCATCTAACCACGTGCAAACCTTCCTCCAGACTCCTCTAACTGATGTCAGTGTAAACTGTTTCTTAGAAGCTTTAGCAAAATGTCACACAAATTTTAATGTGAAGGAGTGTGATGATCTACTCAGAGAGGGGGAATACCAGTGTTACCTGAAGTGCTACATAGTCATCCTTCATATGCACCTACCTGAAAAGCATAGATCAAAACTAACTAGGATTGAGTAATACCAATGCCATTTCAAAATCCAGTGTAAGTTAAATAAGAAATCAATACCCTAATTTTAATTTTTTAGTTTAAATTTTTAGAAATCAGACTGTCTTTCATAAGCTGGAAACAGGAGAACATTTTAAATAACTACAGTGCTGATCTTAGTGGTTCCATTTCTAAATTAACTGAAGCTCAGTATCAAAGGAATGTAGTTTCAGGAGATGTTCCTTCTCCTTCTTATCCTTCAGTAAAATCTCATAAAATCAGTTCTGAAATGCTTCCAAATAGTTTTAAGCATAATTGAACATGGTTTATTACCCCAATGAGCCGGGCAGCCTGCTAAGTGCTTAGGCAGCAATGCCAATATTCAGATAACAGCACATCTAGACACATCCAAAACACCTCAGCTCTGAAGCAAGTGCTATTTCCCAGATTCTACCTCTGTCCCACAGTCAGCACTAAACTAATTGCTTCTCCTCATCTCACACTCAAGCCTACTGAACCAAAACGGTACCGTACTTACCTCACCACCACGGGACAAGCTACCAGAGCCTGAAGAATTGCTTCCACCTTCTCAGGGCCATCCCCGTACCACTGGCTCAGCTGGGGTACGCAGGCCTGCGCAAGCTCCCAGTCTCCATGCCGTATGGACTCACAGAAAAACCCAAAGAGCCGCTCCAGAGAGGCCGCTTCTTCATCTCCAAAAGAATGCATGGTCCCAGGACAAGCAGGTGACCTGGGGCAGGGTGACACACGCGAAGCAGATGCCGTAAGGGCGCGCTGGGGCACCAACCCCACGCTTCTGCTGTCACACAGATAGCGCGCCCTGGGCAGGGACAGGAGGGGAGCCAAGGCCAGGCTTCAGGGGGCATCACCCCACAGGGGCAGGGGGGTAAGGCGCCAACAAGCACCACGGGCTGACAGACAACGCGGCTGCCGCCCGGCCACGAACGATCGCCCCGGGAGACCCCAGCCCGGCGGCCTGACAGATGCTCCTGCCGCTCCCCACCTTCCCCCGGGCCGCCCGTCCGGGCAGGAAGGAAGGGACTGTCGCTGAAGGCGGCGGCGGCCGCTTGCCCCGGGTCGGGCGATCCGCCGCGCACCCGCCCGCGGCCTATGCCCTCCTCCGCAAGGTCCGGCCCCGGCTCGGCAGCCCCCGGAGCCCATCCTGGCGCGGCCCGCGTTACCTGGCAGGGCAAGATGCGGCCACCCCGGCGGCGCTGGGCTCTACTGCACCGCCCCGGCAACGCCAGCCCTCGCCGCCGCCATCTTGGGCACCGCCTCAGCTGACCGCGCCGCCGGGCGGGCACGCGGGCAGCCGCCCGCCCATTGGCCGAGCTGGGGCAGAATGTAAATAAACCGCCATGTTTCTTTGGGGCGCCTGACGCCGCCGCGGGAACCCGGGCAGCGCAAGCCCCGCCCAACCACGCCCACCGGCACGCCCTGCGTCCGCCTCTTACCGCGCGACAGCACCGCCCCGCGCTCCGGCTTCTCGTGGTTCTGATTGGCTTCCACCCGAAGCTCCGCCCCTTCGGCGCGTGGCGGGACAGCCCGGCTGCGGCTGGAGCCCATCGCCCCGGAAGCGGCGGCGGCTGTAGGAGGTGTTGGGGCGGGGAGGCCGTATATGTATACTATACATACACACCTGTAGAGAGAGAGGGGTGTACATACAGGGGTGTATACATATGTGTGTATTTACCCTTGTAACCTGATACCTGGCTACATATATATATGTCTATGTCATAGACTCATAGAATGGTTGGGGTTGGAAGGGACCTTAAAGACCATCTGGCTCCAACCCCCCTGCCCTGGGCAGGGACACCTCCCACCAGACCAGGTTGCTCAAGCCCCATCCAGCTTGGTCTTGAACACAACTTCTCTGAGCAACCAGTGCCAGTGTGTCACCACCCTCACAGTAAAGAAGTTCTTCCTGATATCTTGTCTAAATCTGCCCTCTTCCAGTTCGAAGCCATTATGCCTCATCTATTGCTACACTCCCTCATAAAGAGTCCCCACCATCTCTCCTGTAGGCCCCATTTAAGTACTGAAAGGCTTCTAGAAGGTCTCTCTGGAGCCTTCTCTTCAGGCTAAACAACCACAACTCTCTCAGGCTGTCTCTGTAGGAGAGGTGCTCCAGCCCCATGATCACCTTCATGGCCCTCCTCATGGACAGGTCCAGGTCCATGTCTTACATCGGAGGCTCCAGAGCTGGACACGATACTCCAGGTGGAGTCTCACCAGAGCAGAGGGGCAGAATAACCTCCCTCCACCTGCTGACCACGCTTCTGTTGATGCAGCCCAGGATGGGGTTGTTACTCCTTTGAGAGAGGACAGAAACAGTTTCAAAACAAATAAACAATGTGTTATTTATATGTATTACATATGCCAACACAGTATGTTATGTGCACACATGCATGATTTTAAATACTTATATAAAAATGTGTAGGTATAGATAGAGCTACAGCTACAGACGTGGGCTTGCCTGGCACTCCTGTGCAGGGCAGTGGGGGCTGCCCACCCTTGTGGTCCCCCTGCCCTCTCACCAGCACCGGCTGCCTTGTTTGTGAGGTTCCCTGGGATGAGGCACAGAGGACCGTGACTCAGCTGCTCAGCTGGGTGGTGTCCAGCTGGTGTTTGGGCAGAGATAAGCCCACCTCCCCGCCTCAACATCCTCCCTTTATTCCGGGCTTTTTGTTTGTTTTTTGTCCTGACACAAAACAAAAACTCCTCCGGGGACTGCTGCGGCGGAGGCGAGTGTAAGAGGCAGAGCGGTGATGACAGAGGAGAGGTGTCCCAAAGTAAGTGACCGAGTGAGTCCCCAGGGCTCCCAAACGGGAAATGCGGGAAGGGGGCTATGTGCATTGTGCACATGCTGGGACCCACCAATAAAACGGTGTAAGGTGCTGTTGCAGGAGTTTGTACCATTACCTCCTACGGCATCCTTGGTATTTTTCACCTATACTGTCAACTCAACATAGGCAGAGAAATGGCATGAGGATAATCATGCCTTTGAACTTACTTCAGCCATGCCGGATGAGCTGTACATGCTGAAGCCATGCAGTGGTTGTTGTTCCATCTATTCAGTTCTGACTCCCTGTGCCTTTAGTGATGGTGCGTGCTATGGCGCAGCTCTGCACAATTTCTCAACATGCACTTTCAATTTGGGGTATTATTTTGTGTCTTGTCTCTTGTGTAGGTAGGCAAGGAAGGAGCTTTAGTGGGACACAGGACCTGTATGAGGATGAAATTAATTTAGCCTGGGATCTCCTATACTTATTAGCCAGTAATAATTGCTTTATGCAATTTAAAGTATCTCCTTGCAAGTCAGACTCCTTACTTGAAGAGCTGCTCCCTCACATAAAACATCTCAGGTGACTGGCACTTTTCTTTTGTTATAAGGTTCAAAACATCCCTGCTGGAGTCATATGCCCACTTCAGCAAGGGTAAATGTGCACTACTCAGAATCAGCAGCAGTGCTGACATTTTTGAAGGTACTTTTAAATTCATTTCTTCCAGTATTGGCCTTTTTAAGAAGTAAAGGTGGCTGGATGTAAATATCAAGGTAGGAAAATAAATTAAGGTCATCTTAGCAGAAGATGTAACTTGTAACTTTAAATTAGGAGATAGAGTATATGCAAAACATTTTTTATCCTGAATTTGTGTTTCCATTAAGCAAACTGGCATTCGATAATTTAAAAATCTAGCATTGATTATATTTTCCAAAATGTAAAGATACATATGAAATACCCATGGCAACTTACTCTTGAATGGAAGCCCATTTGCTGTGAACAGAAGTCTGTGGGTTTCCATGCTGATGTAGTGCTTCTTATAGTCAAAATACATATATAGTGCAGGTCTTCTAGCAAAAAATGTCTGAATTTTTACCTTGGAACACTGGAACGACAAAGTGCTTTTTATCTAAAAACAGAGTCTGCTGTGCATCGCCTTGGAATATTATCAGTGTTCTGCAAATTGCTAACAACGCTCAGTGTTTTATAGCAGCTTCTTTCTAGGTGACTCTGGACAGGGAGTGATTACATGCTGTAGTGTAGTACTCTAGCATTTGCATTTTGAAACCATTTCTGAAGCTGAAGTCTCAAAATGTTCCCATCACTTGTTTCCAAGCTCTCTCTCTTATTTTTCCAAATCAACCATCGCCTGTATTACCTTCTCCACTGACGGTCAAAGCTGTTAAGAGAATTATTTGGAGCAGGTAGATGTAGCTCTGATCTTTGGTTGGAGTTTGTAATTGCAGGTCTCTGTGAGTAGATCCATGGTGGGGATCGACCACCTTCTGGCTTTGAAAATGTGATGGGGAGAGGTGCAATGGGGCTCGGCTGTGAGGACGTGGTTGCATTTCTGCCAAAATTCAGTGGCGGTGCAGCCTCTGTGCTGGCTTTGGGGTCTTGTGGCCGAGGAGAGGGGCTGCCTGGCCCAGTGTAAAGCCCGCTGGTGTCATTAGCCTACCAAAATCTGACTGAATTCAAGCTGTCGGAGTAAGTTCACACAGAGCCTGCGCTCTGCACCAGGCTGCCCCAAAGCTTTTGATCTGCTGCAACCAGATTTATTGTCTTGTTGGACCATAGTGGCCCTCAGCAGCTCGTCCAGGCTGTGTCGGCGATCTGGGTCCTGTCACCCGTGAGAGGCATGGGTCACCACAGCACCTGCCCAACCTCCTCGCGTTTTAGGGAGCAGCATCACCCACCTGAGGTCAGTGGTGGCTGTTCCCAGGGCCACCTGAGGCATGCCGCCAGGGTCATCAGTCACATACATCAGTCAGGTAGAGCACCATCAGCCGCCATATATCTTACAGACAGCAGATTTGGTCAGAAACAGCCCACCGAAGCCAGCAGTCCTGTCAGGAGTCAGCAGGCCTGTCAGGCAGCCAACACCTTCTTACCAGCTATGGTGGCCCTCTAGCTCACCTCAGACACCAGAACTGACAGAATTTATACCAAAATCGCGAGAAGTATTTCAGGCCGGAAACATTTTTAAGCTCTTTTGTACATGTAAAAACAAAATCTGGCCACATGAGGTGGCCAGTGCAGCTGCTAAAGCTGGTTTACTCACTGTGTCACCTACTGCAGCACGTTTTTACTGTCTTCTGCAGGTGGAGCAGTATGTTGGTGAAATTAAAGGTGGCCTGAGACCAGCCATGAAACTCACAGTCATAGGAGTGGTACACTCCAACCCCAAGAGGTAGGTGAAGGGGCTGCTGGGGGCTTCATCCCTGCCACATGTTCTGCTACCTAAATTCAAATGTTTTCTTGAGGGTCCGTGCTCTTTGTGAGGAAGAAAGTCATGTAGATTCATAATTTATAGCTCTATTTAACTTTCCTGCTCTTAGATTGAAATTGAAAGAGTGAGAAATAATTAGCTGTTTGGGCCACTCTGACTGCTGTGCCAGCATTTTCTACTCCTTGCCCTTATCTAATGTGAACCAGAGGGGGCACATAAGGGGCATTTCTCCTCCAGGAAGAGGTGCAATTTTGAAGCTGCATCTTGGTTGTCTGCTGGGGGCTGGAACCAACACCACTTGAAAACCAGTGGTTTTGGCACAGGAGGTGCAGGCTCATTGCTGTATTTAGTCTGGATGACAGCAAGTGTGCTACCACTACACCTTTTTTTTTTTTTTGCATATACATTGATCAACTCCAGTGCAATCAACACTGGTGAAGAGTTTTCCATAACTTTTTAGGATACAAATTGGAATTGGCTCACCCACAAATGTATTCGATTCCAGTCACAGGAGGGGGAAAGAAACATCAGAAGTCACTAGCATCCTAATGGAAACAGGAAGAGAAACAAAGACTGTCTTCTCATCACTTTCTACAACTTTTAAGCCAATGCACAGTCCCTGTAGGAATCCTGTATTTCAGTGTGACAAGAAACCAACAGCTGTCTCTAGTGTTTATAGGCATCTGACGTGCTCACCATGTCCTTTTACGTTTCTGGAAGTCCCAGTCATTTGTCTTTTCAGCTTTTCAGTGACTCTGCTCTGTGATCCAGTGGATGCAAGCAAAGATGTTGGGCTGTTATTTACTGTTAACTTCAGTGACAAATCCATCACCCGAAATGCACGGATTGCTGGAAAATGGGGAAGAGAAGAGAAGACAATTCCCTACTTCCCATTTACAGCAGGCGATACATTTAAGGTATTTTGGGGGTACTATAATTAGGGTGGAGAAAAGGTGGGAAGAAAGGCTGAAGGCTATGTATATGACCATAAATAGCTAACTATGGAAATTGACAGGTTAACTAGTCTAGTATGGTACAGAGAGCAACAGTTCAAGCCCTGATGGGAGAGATCCTTTCCTTTCTCTAGTCTCAGTGACTGTACTCACTATAAGGAGCTTTACAGTACCATCTCAGCAGAAAGCACATCATTTAGTAGGGGCATTTCAGAAGAACACGTAGACTTTGTGCTTCACTGTACCCATTACATGGTGTTCTAAATCCATGCTGGTGAAATCAGTTCTGCTGCTTGTCTCTAACACCATCCCCTGTCTTTTTCCATTGCAGATGGAGCTCTTATGTGAACACCAGCAAATACGAGTCTTGCTTGATGGGCGGCAGCTCTGTGACTTCACTCACCGCATTCAGCCCCTGAACTTGGTGAAAGCTTTGCAGATCACCGGCGACATCAAGCTTACCAAAGTGGCTTGAAAAAAAGGAGACCACAATATCACCAGAAGACAGAGGCAAATGTACTTTCTCCTATCTGAGAAATGCTTTCTCTTTTTTCCCCTGGCTGATTCTGGATAGTGAGAACTGTATTTTTCTCATTTTTTGATGTGTTTGAACCGTACACTTTTTTTTCTTTCATACACACCCAGCAATTGCAGAGCTATGGCTGGTCCAAGTAAATCAAAGGGCCTTTGCTGAGATCCTCTCTTGGCTTCCCAAACTGCAAGATTTATGATGTTATGCAGTATTTCACATCCTCGTGGTCCCCTAGCACCCGAGGCATGCCAGCTTGCAGAGCTAAGTCCTGGGGTGGCTGTTACCCTTGTGACAAGAACTAGGCAGCATGCAGGTGGTGGGACTCAGACAAGATAACCAGAAGATCCCCTTATAAGTGAATAAGGGAGTCCAGTGGGCCCCAGCAAGGCTTACGTTATCAGGAGGGAATTGCTTTTCCTGGAAGCTCTGCTCAGTCAGCATTTGTGTTTCCCACTTACAGAACAGTAAGTGCCTTACCACTATCCCTGTCTCTTGCAGGTAGCATTCTTGTGAATTCAACAGCTGGATTTCACAGTCTTCTCTGGACCAGCCCTAGGAAATGGTATCTGTAGCTGAAACTCCATTGCCCATTCTTGTATCTAATTAAAACTGCATCTTTGCTGGCAAACTTTTTTACCAGCTCTGTTAAGTATTTGAATGCACGAGAGCATTGTGCTGTTATTTCATTGCTGTAGATTTAGAAAGAAGTCCTTAATACGTGGCTATTCTAATACATATATAAGCATATATCATAGCTGCTGCCTTTGGCTCTGTTATGATTGGTTGGTTATAACGTGGTATGAAGGAGTAATAACATGGTATGAAGGAGTAAGTCTCTAGATGAAGAGACTTCTTTTCAGTAACTTGGAGAACAAAAAGTCTGCAAAAAGGTTGTTCTGTGGATAGAGAGCTATCAAATTCTTCTGGGACTTCAAGGAAGATATATACCATGCTGTCTTCAGAGGGCTTTTAGACTCTCTGCAGAATCTGGCTGTCAGATACAGATACTCAGATAACACACGGAATTCTATGAAAATAGCATGTCAGCAGGCTGGTTGGGTGTTTTAATCATCTCATACATTCCATTCTACCTTCTAGTGTTGTGGAGAATGTCTCAGTTTCTACATAAATCTGAATTTTCCGCGTATGAAACCATTTTCGTATACTCAAACTGCCCTCAGAAAAATCTTGTCTAAAGATCACAGGAGATTCAAATATAAAAAAGAGTTCAGTGCCTTTAATAATATCAAAGTCAACTGTATTAGACAAATAATGGAAAAATTAATGGCTTATAATAGAAAAAGTAATAGTCAGAACTGCTATTAGAGTTCTCAGTCCCAATGGTGCTCCACAGAAATGGACTTATGGTGGTAATCAGGAGTAAAAGCCTTGCTTTTATGGCTGAGTGATTTCTTCCAATATATTCAGCATGAGTGATTGTCTGGAATAGCTGCCACTGGTTTGATTTGATACTTGGGATCCGGTACTGCGATAGGCCATTACCAGCAGCACAAGAATAATCTATATACTGGAGAATCCTCCTCGCCAGATCCTTTGGTCTTTTCTAGCCTAAGAAAGAACCAAATGGTAGAGCAGATGGATGGACAGACAGACCCTCCGGTTTGTTTCGCAATAGTGACTATCCTGGTAGCTGGATTGTGGCTTAGCACAAGACACTTGTGGTAAGACATTCCACACCAAGAAAGGCAGCCTCAGACACCAGGACCTTTCATGACCGTGATTCAGTTAGTCTTAACTAATTAAGTTTATGAGTCCCTTCATAAAGGGGAAAGGAGCAAGACATTTCTGCTTTAGGACAAAGCACAACCTGGATCTGTCAGATATAGATTGAATACTTGTACAAAAGAATTCTTTTCTTCCATCTTGGAATATTACATCTCATTGTTTCCTTGTAAAGTCCTGTTTATCTGTATCCACCTGTTGTCTTTTGTCTCTTGGTGAGATGGTAAGTTCTTGGTGGGGAATTTTTCTGAATCTACATGACTCCGAGGCACCTAGGATCTGCCAGGAATTACTAGGTGCTATGGTGATACAAATAACAAGAATAGACTATCTAAGGGAAAAACAACACTCCCAGACAATGAGAGCAGGAAACTTGGTCACAAATGTGACTTGTCATTTGTCATGGAGTTCACCTTACTCATGTCAATGGTTTGATTGCCTCAATCCACTGTGTTCGCTCTGCCTTGGAGCTGGCCTGGATATAATAATGAATGTCATTTTTGGTGATGATTTTGAAGAGGTTGCCCTGCACATTGCCCTTCACTCCTGCAGAGAAAAAAAAAATAAATCACAGATCAGGAAGGTGCACAGAGAAATGCTTTGTGGCAGATATGAATCTTCACAGGGAAGAATTTTAATTTAGTGAATTAGGGTATCAGGCCTTTCCATTTCATTATGGATAAGACATCTAAAGCTCTTTGATTTCCCTTCTGCAAAAATATAGTACAGACACCCCTCACATAGCCTATATGAACTCCTGTATAGTACGCTTCATATACAAAATAGCCACTGTTTAGAGGAAGATTCTCACTTGAATTACACAATGGAGGGATGAACTCCCTACCAGTTTGTGCAGTAGATTAGATTTGCTCCTGCCCATCTTCAAGTTCCTCTTATCAAGGAGCTCTGTTGTTCATCATGGCCTCCCAGCCTGGACTGTATCTTTTTCAAATCCTCTATTTTTTCTTTACAAAGATGCTCCCTATTCGAGATGCACACACTGTGCTTACTGTCATAAAATAAATTGCTTTAACAGCAGAAACACTTATCTGCGAGGCTGAGGTTCTAGACAAATGCCTAAGCCAAGCATTTTCACCAGCAGAGCTATTTTTTTACATTGCTGTCCTTATGCTTCCCCTGCCTTTGGGTTCTAGCAGATGAAAAAGGAAGACGTAATAGCATAAGCAGAAAGGACACACAGGAAAGGGATGGCACCAGGGGATGCCTCAAAACTTAGAGTTAAACAACATCCAAAAAGAAAGTGTTTCCTCTTTGTCTGTTAACGCCAGAATATTAATCAGCATCTTAGGGCTGTCTCAGAAGTCATTTGACTGAGAAAAGCCCATAAAAAGGGGAACACCCAAGATATGTGGAAATAACGCTGTGGAAAAAAACATCCCCTCTGGTATGGACAACCCATCAGTACAGGGATTTTTTTTGTGATATGCCTCTTCCATTGCTTGCAAGGGGAGAGGAAAGGCCAGCGCACTTGTGCATACAGCACAAACCCACACCCAAAGACTGTATTGCTATGGCATAAATATCTATGTATGAAAGTTTAGAGGCTTGTGCTTACCTGCTGGGACTCCATTGTCCTCTAGAGCTGAGACAAGACAACCACGAAGAGAAAATCCACCTACTGGTTTGTTTTCTTCCTGCAAAGAAAAAGGAAATTAGGCTTATCTGGAAAAATACCATCATTAGAATAATTTCCCTGAGCACGTCAATTATTTTTATGAAGGTGGAGTTGAAATGCCAGTCTTTCCAGATATAAAACATCCGTGTCACAAGAGAAGTTAATTTGGACATGTAATTAAATGCATCACTATGTTGTTTCAGTCTCAGATGTTTCTCTGAGGTAGCTGGGAATGCTGGAGATCAATTAAAAGCAGAAGGGTAGGCTAACAATCATATTTCAAACTTATATATATAGTCTTATCAGTAACAACCCATATTAAAAAAAAAAAAGATAAGTCTGCAAGTTTTTAGCTGAAACCGTGTGGGGAAAACGTGACTGTTTTCACTAGTAGGCTGGCTGTCTCTGATCTTCAAGTTCTGCAGTTTGAGTTTACAGCATTATGAGGGCTAATTGCAGCGCAGAAAAACCCCACAAAGAAACAGGCAACAAAAAATGAATGAGGTCCATATGCTATTTTCACTGTTAATGTTGTTTGAGTTTTCTTTAAATGTCACATAAAACATTTCTATACATGTGCTTTTAGCAACCTGTTGGGCTTTGTGGTACCCTATGCATCGGGAGCTGATGGATCCTCATGCCTTCTGGGTTGCTCACATTGATTATTACATCCACAAAAACAAATCCTACTATTCCCTGAGCAAGTTTAAAACTGAGTAGCAGAAATTAATGTAAATAGTTCAGCATTAAGGAGACCCTATTCAATGTTGGAATAAGAACATAAAAAATCCCAATAGCAGCATGACCCTCAAGCCATGGGGTGTCAGCCCAGAAAGATCACAGCCCAGGACAAATCCCTGCAGGAGCATGGTCCCAGACTGTGTGGGTTCAGCAAAAGACCAATCCCAAGAAGACTGCTGCCCCTCTGCTACGGAAAAGGAATCTCACTAGGGAAAAGACAGGAGGGAAGATAGAGAGACAGAAAATCCTACAAAAACAGCATCCCAGGGTAAGGCCAGAGAGGTCTTATTCGCAGGAAATGGGCAGAGAAACACGGAAGGAGATTTGGGTAAGAGAAACATTTACAGCATAATTAGGTCTGTGAGAGGATTTCTGGGGGCAGTCACTCCCCACTCACATACCTTAGTGGGGTCATAGTAGTGCAAAAAAGCAGGCTCAGCTCTCAAAACAAATTTCCTCACCTTCCAGTTTTTCCTTTTATGCCCCTGCAAACCAAAAGAATTACAGTTACCACCAGTAAATACTTTATGCAATGGCCATTTCCAGGGTGTAGGGGAGACCCGGATAGATACTGAAAAAAGAGGTTTTGGAGATAACAGAGAAAAAAATTTTCTGATATTTTAGTAATTACCAGGATTTTCTGCTTAACATCCTTCTTCATACACTGATAATTCCTTACTCTCTCCCTTCCTTGTGCTGAGAAACAAGAAAACAGGTCTCACCACCACTAGAGCATCCATGCGTACATAAGCGACCATCCACAGGTTAATGTCCACTTCATGCAAATGTCAATCTACTCAGGTTGAAATTTGTCTGTGGCCAGCAGAACATTGTAGCTGCTCACACAGCCCGGGTGGGACTGGTTAGACCAGAGGAACAGTGGATCTGCTTGGAAGTGAACATAATGCCTCTGCTGGGATTTGGAGTTTGTGTGGGACTCTTGCTTTTGATACTATGACTATTCTATAGCTTTCAGTTTATTCTCAATATATGGACACAATATTGTATTAGACTTAAAGGTCTCTTCCAACCTAGACAATTCTATGATTCTATATAAAGAATATCCACTGAATCCTGCCTGAGCAGCACATTCCACAGCTCACCTCTTTATAACTACATACTCTTCACCATATGATCTCTGACAGTAGTGTGGACAGGCAAGTTATCTCCACAACTCCCCAGCCCTGCTTGTATAAATCACACTTATTTTCTAGGAAGTCTTAAAAGCTGTCATTTTTCTTGTTTCCCAGAGAAGGCTGAAAACCTGTATTTACCTGCTTCACTAAGAATCCTTGCTTCACAATTGTGCCACTTAATTCAGCGATGTTAAATTGTAGCTCTCCCCTGGAACTGGTATTTTTATTACTGCTCTCAGCCTGCAAATAGGGAAAAGATAGTTCCACTTTTTAATTTAGAAAACTTTTAAAAGTATATTTTATTTTCCTTGAGCTGTTTTTAGCTCATATTTCCCGAGTAAACTCTGTAGCCACGCTGCTAAGCTTTGTAGGTCTGAGATTTCCAAGCAACTAATTACAGCTGTAAAACCTACACACGCACCACGGCCTTGAGTTTTAGCATAACTACAGCCCAGCCTCCCTTAAATGCAGACACAGCATTGTGCTTGAGGGACATGCCTCTTTTAATGCCTAATCATGTAATCTGTAGATCCCTCCACGTCCATGCAGCTATTTGTCCCCAGCAAAAGTGCACGTGTTAGCACTTTTAAAAGCCTAGAGCTGCTCCTTCTGTATTTACTGTATATTTTGCTTTTCGTTGCCCGCGGTGTGTGTCCCCTTCACCACTGCCCCAAACCAAGCGTGTGACGAGGGGCAGAGGAGGTGCCTCTCTGGGCAGCTGTGTCACTTACAAACATGTACAGGGCAGTGGAGTCATCAAGGAACTGCTCAGAGAGGTCACTGCAGCGCATGGCCTCGGTGCTGCGGGATCCCACCGGCTTGATGAAGTTCTCCTCCATCAACATGGACGCCAAGGTGACAGCCTCGAATCGTGACACAGCAAAGCCATTGGAGATGAGCCAATCCACCAGGGCAGAACCTGCAGAAGGAAAGGCAGCTGTCATACCAAGGCAACGTGCCCTTCCAAGGCGAGACAGATGGTCTCTTGCCACAAAGGCCCTCATTTGCCGAAATATTTTGGCACCATCACAAAGACTGTCAATGAATTGCAAGGTTGACCAAAACTGTGGGGTCTTACATATGTGTCCATGTATTCAAAGAGCAAGAGAAAGGTGTTGGAGAGCTTGGCTGCACCAGTACTTTCCACTGGGCCACAACTGATTCCACCGTGAAGGCAGTGCAGTAGGTCCCTTGTCACTGCAGTGTGGCATGTCAGATGTGAGTAAGCTCTTTGCCAGCAGCAGGAGTACCTGTGAAGGTCTCTTTGTATCTGCTGCCTTGCTCCAAGTTGCGGGTCCGCTTAATTCCAGTACCATTGTCACACATTTTCTCCACTATGTGGCTGTAAAAGAGAACACAGGACAGCATTACTAGAATAAGGAGGACAGACAGAAACATCACATCCTTCCACCAGTGCCTGGGATATCCTAATCATTACCAACATAAAGATGGGAAACAGCCTAGATACTCCCCTATAACTTTCATCCTAGGTACGGTGTAGGAAAACTTTATTCTCCAAATGGCTGCACTAAACAAGATGCCTCACAAAGTACCTTTCCATTTAAAGCACTTCTAACTGAGCCTCTATTTACCTTCTCTACACAAATCAGATTCATCTAATCTTTCTGTTTCTTAATCAGTTGTCTGTTTCCTCTTGTTTAAAATAATGCACCCTAAAAATCCTAGCCTGAATTCTGGCTGTCAGCTTAGAAAGCTCATCAACACTGTATGAACAATGTCATTGCTTAGTCTTTCCCTGACATTACATTTTCAGAAGTAATGCATCCCCCCAGTTAGAAACTCTGCAGCTGACTAGGAAGGTCTTCAAGTCAGCAGTGAGATGCTGTTGAAGAAACCACATTCACTTCCCCGACTCCAAAAAATGTCAGTCAGGAAAAAATGCATTCCCGTGCCCTGGCAAAAGTGTGTGCAAACCTGGGGCAGAGCAGGCAGTTTAGAGACTCCTGGCCCCATGGGAGCAGATCTATGCAGAGGGGAGCTTCCCTTGACCCTTCCCATCCATCAGCAATAGCAGGAGAAACCATATACACTTACTGGAGACTGATATTCTCCAGTAGTTTGAAGGAGTTCTTCATTTTGTGGAGCTCTTGTACCTGTCCAGGGTGACCAGCATGAATAGCACCAGTGATGTCCAAAGCCCAAGAGTCTCGCTCCTCCCTGGAGCAACATTCAAGGAAATAGTCTGTGTTGGTTTTTGTCTTAAGTTTAATGAGTAGCTGTGAAGAAAGAAGTGCAAAACAATAACATCATTTAGCTATTGTTCTTTACTTGTGTTTTGCTTCTTTAGCACTGGCCTAAGTGACACAAATAAGTCTGATGTGGCATCCCACCTGAGCAGGACAGAGAAATTCTTGGCCAGAAGGATGGTGGCCACAACTCTGGGTTTTTTCTCTTCCCAGGGTTTTCAGTGCCAGGCACGGTTTGTGTGCATGGAGCTTGTGGTACTTAGAGAAGACCACCCAGATACTGGATTAGATTGGACTGTGCTGCTGACTGTGGAGCTTTCCATATCCAGATCTCTAATTTCGACAACTACAAGCTCTCCCTAGGCTTGCTCTGCCACGAGAAGCACTAAAATAGTCAGCAGTTGACAGTCGTTTCCCTTCTGGCCCCACTCAGAGGAAGTCTGCATCACTGCTACCCGCAGCTGAGCAGAGAAGCACTGGAGGCACTTTCCCTTCCAGAGTCCTCTTGCTGGAAACTTTCCACAGCAGCAAAGTCCCAAAGGGCATCTGTCCTGGCTGCCCAGGAGTATCCTGTGGATACAGCCAGAGTTTAAGGCACTACCATAGATGGTATTTCCCTTTTTTCCCATCCTCCTCAAATTTTAGTGAACTCTCCCTCTCCTTGCTCCACACACTGTTGGGCTGATGCATTTACATTTATTTTTCCAATTGTGTGTGTGAGGGGGTAGGTTTTTCTGGTTTTTGTTGTTGTTGTTGTTGTTAATGGCTGTGACTCAGATTTGGGCACAGGGAACAGCAAAGACACAATGAGCGAGATTGCTTGTCCTGGTTACATTGCTAACGGCAGCTTGCTTTTGGCTGGGCCTAATTCTGGCAACACCCCAGCGACATGGCTGCAGTAATCGAAGATGTCAGGAGGAGAAGAAAAGACCAGGGAAAAGTTAGAAAGTGAGTGTCATCAAGAAGGGATAGATACATTTTTTCCAGTCATACCGGTCTGTTCTCATATTCCAGGCACGGACAAGTAATAGTGCAGCCATCCAGAATGATCCTGCCCTTTGGATAAGGCTCCTTCTTGCCTCCTTCCATTTTGTAATACAGCAGCTTATCCTGAAGCAGAACAAACCATCTCACCTTCCAGTTACGAACAACATGTCCCTAGAGGGGAAGAAATCCACATAGCTGGCTTTAACATGAGCACTGAGAAATGACAATACTTTTTTTTTTTTTTTGAGGTGAAAATACCATAAGCTAATATGAAACTGCATGACAAGAAAGACAAGAATTCATCATGAGTCCTGTTCTCCCCGAAATATGAAATAGCAAAGTTCCATCACTAAAATAATGGAACAATAGAAAGGCGCTTTGCTCTTTCTTCAGCAAGGACAACTTCTTTGCTGGCAAGAACTGTTTCTTGCAACAGATCACATGAATTATCCAAAAGAACTGTCATTTAGGTGCCTACGTGCTTGCTGACAGCACCAGGCAGGAACAGGGCTACACCCAAAATGTGTGAGGCCTCTTGGAGACAAACTCCTCCTCTCTGGTGACCTTGGGTGGTGTTCCGTGTGTTTCATTCTTTGCCATTTTGATGTGACTGTAGGTGCCAAGTGGTTCTGAGAGCACTTTGCTGTGCGACTTGGCTTTTCCTTACATCCCCTATTACTGCTAAAGGGTAGTTTATTTCTATCCTACCTGCCTCCAGTCTGCCGAGCTAAAACATTCCCTGTGCTACTGTTCCCTGTGAAGGAAATACAGTCTTTTAATGGCAAATGACTGAGCGAAGGCTGCTGTTGAATGCCTCCTGGGTTAGACCAGAATACAGACAAAACCTCTTCTTCCCCCTCTGTAAACAGCCGCCGGCTGTCTTTAGCGCGGCTGTAGGAGAACAGGCGGAGGGAGGGCTGGCTCTGACAGGCTCAGTCTTGTCTGACAGCGTCAGGTCCAGCTTTGTGGTGCAGGGAGCTGACTTGCCTTTCTACAGGCGATGGAGCGTTACAGCCAGCAGGCGAAGCACTGGGTAGAGGAAGCTCTGACACCTGGGAGAGGGTGGGCACAGCTAGAAGAAAGGAACATGCAAGGTCCAGTTGTGGCAGGAATCAAAGCTCATTAATTCTCTATGAGTAAAGGGGAAAACCAGCAATTTCCAAGAAAAGGTGAAGTCAAGTCTCCAAAATCCAGGGCATGTTAGATCTAATGTCTTCTAGTCTATACTGAAGACAATTTCTCTAACTTGGGTTTATTCTCTCCTTCCCTTAGCCTTCTTCAGTGGTTTTTTTCACCTGTTGTAAAGTCCCTTGGGCATTTTTCCTGAGAGTACATTCTTTGCTATGGCTCTTTTCTTTCCTTCTTGGAGATTTTCCCTTTTTCAGCAAATGACCTTACCTTTTTTATTTATCTTTACCTGACTTCCACACATTTACTTTACACTTATAATACATTACAAGACATAATTCAGTCATTTATAATGCATTTAGATCATGTCCTTCTTTCTGTTTTCTTCTTAAGAAATCTCTTTCCTTTACCTGATGCCACCCTTTCCTAATTTTTTCCTCTGGATCCCTTGTTTCCTTCTCCCTCAGTTTCTTTTAGTCATCTTTGTAGTCTCCTTCCTATCAGAGTGTGCATCTCAGTGATGTACAGACCAATACAGCTCAGTGTGCTGACAATAACCTGTGCCTCTCACAATCACAGCCCAGGGAGAAGAGCAGGAGCTGGGACTGCTCTGCCCTTGCTGCAGAAGGGAGGATGGGGAACAGCTTTGGCTGCACAGCCCTTCTCTGCCTAGAGCACGGCTTCACGTGGGCAGCAGCCCTGCCAGGAGAGCTCCTGACCAGGATTGCCTTCATGTTAGCACCAGAAGCACTGCCACGTACTGTAGAAAAGCATTTCCCAAGGCGTAGCACAGCTTTGAACGAACCTTTGAATTCCGTTTTTGGTGTCAAGGACATATTCATCACCAAGACACGGTCTTGGTACTAAAAGCAGCAAGTTACGCCCTTTGATAAGTTGCCCTCGTGTCCCAGCTATGACTGACTTGGTCCTATGGAGAGAAGTGTTGGAAAGGCTGAAATCTGTGACACCATCTTCCAGCTCTTTTCTCCACATTTTGGCTAAAATGTTTTTATAGTGCAGCTTGAGGGGCGTGGAAGAAAGAAGCTATTTCAAACAAATTTCTATGTTTGTATTGCACTGATCCCCTTCAAAAAGTATAGTCTATTCCCCATCCTTTCATATGAAATGGGAAACCCTGCTCAGCTGGGTCACTAAAGAAGGCACAAACTATCTTAAGAGACTGTCAAAACATTTTCCCTCTCTCCATCTTCCCACAGCCACTTCCACTGCTGCCACGTAAGTGTTTGCCAGGTACTTTTTTTATGCAGAGGTGTGTCCTAGGTGCAGACATACTGGCTTTCTGATACCTAACTGAACGGGCCCAGGAGCTAGTTCACTTTCCTCTGGGCAAGGTCCAATACAGGGGGATTCGAGGGAGGGTAGTGCAGAGCTGCAGGTCATGCAGTTCCCCTGGCCTGTGGCTGCACAGACCCAGGGGAGCTCCTCTCCCAGAAGCAGGCAGGAGCCCCCCAAACCCAGCGCCCAGTGGGCTGCCCTGCCACAAACCCTTGCTTAACCCAGTAACCACTCAGGGGTTGGTTCCACCTTTGAGCAGAACCCCACAAAGAAGAACCAGAGCACTTACCCGTTTGACGAGGAACCCCTCCTTCAGCACTCCAGCTGCTTCCTGCATGGTGGCCAGCAGGGAAAAAAGCCAAGAGCCCAGTGAGAAGTGCCCAAGCTCTGGCAGCGTGTCCCTCTGCACACAATTTGTTTAAGAAAGCTCATTTTTCTTTACTACCCTCCTCCTCCAAAGTGACGCACTCTCCCTCCCCTGTTTTTTTTCTCCCTCTCTTCCTGCCTATGAGACATTAGTTAAACATTGAGCTGGCTCTGATGCATTACCTGCCCTCTGGGAAGAAAAACAAAAGGAAACCTAAAAAGGATCTCAAAAGAATTTCACAGAATTTAGTACAGCAAAAAACCACCGAGTGAGTTGGCCAATATAAGCAGGCACATGATAACAAATCACATATTGCATGGGAGGGAGAAGCAGAATTATAAAACTTCAGACTAATCAACTCTACTGCTTAAAATTTCTCATCTAATAAACACATCTCATTGGGGTTCTACAAATCAGAACACTTTAAGTGTAACATTAATTAGTGTAGAATATTATGATTACAAGGAGACTTTTACAAACCTTAAAATACTTTCTTTTGCTAGTTTATTTTACCAAAGAAAACCCAAAGCACCTAAAAAGCCCACTCTACTTTCAGTGACCACTGGGCATATAAACCAAGATTCTCAATTTAATAACCTAAACCCCTCCATATGCATCTGTTTGGGCTTTTAGTAAAGCAGTGAGATCAATGAACACTCTGCAGTGACCTCTTGCAACTCCCGAGCACCTCTGAACTGGACTGCCTTTTTTGTGCCTGAATACGAGCTTAGATGTTGATTGCATTTTTGAAGACTTTGGCCACAATAAAAATTTATCAAGTCTTGTCCTCATGAAATAAACCAGTATTAGTATTTCAGACAGTGCTGCTGTTCAGAAGTAATAGTTTTTGCTGTACTGTTAGCATTCCCTGACTTGTAGCCAAATTAAAGTGATTTATGTGGGCAGAGCTAGGAGATGTGATAAGAAATAAACATAGTATAACAAATGAACAGAAGCACCGTTGCTATGTAAGAGTCCAGAGTTCAGCCAGACTGCATGACTCAAGCATCTCAGTCTTTGCGCACCACCTGAGATGACTGGTCACACCCAGGAAAAGGAACAAGAAAATTTCTTTATAATATTTTTTATAACTTCTTGCAAGGAAGAGCAAGACACTGAAGAATCCAAACCTGACAATGCAATGGAGACAATCCAGAAAACTGCCCTGGCAGGGACCATGAGAATACACAAGAAGTGACCGAATGCTACTTAAGTCAGAAAAATCGATAGCTGTATAAAGAGAAAGCACACTGGCTGACATTTCCAAAGCAGCCAGCCCACAGGGAAGTTACCTATGTAGCTCCTACTGCACTCCCTTTCCCAATTTGGAACATGCAGGCAGCCATGATGCAACCAGCTGCGTAAGTCATATCCTAGTTATGTTTGTTCTTCAGCCTAACTAAAGTGAGTATAGCAAGTTTAACAGAACTCCTAGAAGAAGAGTATTTTTTGCTGTAGGTATGTAGTATTTTCAAATATACCAATGGAATTATTATTTTTTTTAAGTATTATTGTGGCCTTAAAGTAAAGCAGAAATTAACTGAGTGTATTTCTTTAAATTTAAAAAATAATCTCAGTTTCTGTGCATATACATAGGAGTTGTACTTAGCAGCAGAATCTGGGGAAAAAACCTGATGCAGCCAGCAATAAAAAGAAAATAAATTTCAGCTCACAATGTTCTGTACATCAGAAATAAACTTGAGAAAAAAGGAGAAAACTTGAGCCTAGGTACACAGGAGATGTAACTGCTGCACGCGTTTCCTGGGCATGCACTCTTTATATAACTGGCTCCAGGAATACAGTGTTCCACCGTTTGGTATTTGAGGTTCGACTTCACATTGTTCAGCTTGTTACTGCAGGCAATTTATAACAAGGTGGGTGAGATAATTCCGTGCTAGTGAGGACACGCAGAAGCTTGCAGGGAGCTCTGGCTCAGACGGTGAGCTCAGAATTGCCCCATAACCAGTCCTCCCCCAAGATCCGAGTGAGCTCTTTTTCTCCAGCGCACAGACCACCCACGACCCTGCAGACGGGTCTTGGCAAAATTACCATTAGCAACGAAGAATTTTATACTCAAAGTGCTGAGGAACGGTGAAGCCAACACTGCCTTAGCTGGCCATTAACAACAGGTTTTGTATCAACTACATTTTATAATCTAGAACCTTCTCTTGCTTCAATACCTCAGATATTTATAATACATACCCTTCCTCCCCCTGTCTCATTCTGTAGTTAATCAAAGCTAACAAACTGCCCTTATATTGCTCCCTGAGGTTAAGCAAATACTGATCTCCAACAGCTTTGCAGGAAAAGGGTCATATAATGTCAAATGAGTCAGTAGATGTGGGCTGCCGTACTCACGCGTGTGCTGGGAAGGCAGGCTCTGGCACTGACGGCTGCTGGCAGACAAGGACATGCTTCAAAACACATAAATCCAGGGAGCTCCAGAAAACTCCATCGAGTCTTCTGTGGGACTCAAAACTTGCTGAAGTAAGGACTATCTCTTTCCTCAGATCCATTTTGTAGTAGCATTTTCCACGTCAGCATATTATGTTAACAAAAAAAGCAGAGTTGAGCGCTTGACATTTTCTTCCATTCAAAGTGACCCCATAACTCTTTATGTGCCCCCAAGTTTGCACTGGGGCGGCCAGGAGGAGCCAGCCGCAGGCTTCAGGACCACAGGATGCTACTCAGGGTTAAAGGGAAGGGCAGGAGCAGCTGGCTCCGAGTGCAGACTGTGCCATTCCAGCTGGTTGACCCAACAGACTTTGCTGGGACCTCCAGCTCAGTCCCTCAAGGACCCACAAGCAGCTGATTAAGAGAACCCCCCCAAAGGACAGCCCTGGTCGCATGCTCTGCGGTGCCCATCGCCTGTCACCACATGAACAGTGTCACGTGGGGGATTACGTACACCAGGCTTTTTCAAAGCAGCTTCTTAAGGTGCTAGGACTTTGTAGGACACAACATTAGGTGTTTAGTTTCTTCAGTGGATTAGGGATGAAATAAAATGAAAACAAACCACATCAAGATCAAAAAATGATTAAACATTTGTAGATAAAAGGGAAAGATGACAAGTTTTCAAAAGTATGCTGACATAAGAGCATTTTTAAAATTAACTGTAGAAAGATGGCAGTGTTTGAAAACAGTTGGTTAATTGTCTAGACTCTGGAACAAAAAACTATCAGAAATTAAATACCAAAGGGCAGACTCTGCTATGAAGAACAACATGTCAGCTCTGCTCAATTTAAAAAAAGACCGAGGGCCAGAATCAATGAGCAAATGCCAAGGAATGTATTAAAAACCAGACAAACCACACCAGCCCCCAAAAAAGCTGAGAACCCCTTCTTTCAGAACCACTATTTCCCCTTATCAGAAACAGACACCGGCTGTAACTGGACTGCATGCCTGACCTGAACTGGTACCTCTGGTTTTTTTTTTTAGTATTAATGAGTCCTTATCAGATGTTGTAAGTAAAACTGTTTCCAAACTGCCAGTCTCACAAAATTAATCTGGAATATGAAAGTCATGCTGAGACCCTTACAATTAATGTTTCAGGCCAAATCCTGTCCACAGCTATACCTGTATCTTTGCCTTCAGTTGACTACATAACTGCAAGTGGAGATTTTTGGCCTTGCAATTACAATTGAGTAAGCAGGACAGTTGCTAATGAACAGCAGGAATACGCTACCTCGCTTTAACGAGTTGACTAAGATGTTCACACAAAACCCATGCCCCTTATTAGAAATATTCGGTAAGCAAACGCAGTTCTACACAAACAAAATGGACCAGCTGAGACAGACGGTATCATCTCAGCAACTTCTAAAGGTCCTTAGGTCACAGGCTACGGCGACTGATGCAGCAAAAGCTGAGGCCCAGCACAGGCCTTGCTGGTTCAGCACTACCTTACACACACCTAACGGGCCTCCAAAGCGGCCACCTTGGACCTCCTCCTTCCAGCTGCTGCAACACATGAGAAATATCCACCAATTTGCATCTTGCATCTTTTATTTAAGCTTCCTCATTAGAATTTGCTCGGGCAACTGATTTTATCTGCCAGGGTAACAAGTGACTGAAATGTATTTATCTGAAGCTGCTTTGTTACTGTCCTCACCATCGTGGTCTTTCTTTTTTTCAGGCCCTCAAAATTGGCACAGAATTGTGCACGCCAGCACACTGAGGCTCCAATTAGACAAGCTCCTGTAGCTACTGAACACGTTTAGCAAACTTTTGCCCAAGTTACTGACAGAAATGATGCTCCCCTGCCTAACACGCCAAAACTGCTCTTAGAGATGATGTATTTGTAACCCCCGATGGTACTCTAAGGAAGGAGCACGCACGGCTCATTTTTCAGTGCTTTGCAGCAGTATTTTGGCACACATCACATGGTAACTTTTAAAACATTTTGTTCTTTTGTCTGAGTACCCACCTATTGTGTTTAATGGAAGTCAAATCACTATTTTAGTGAATGGGTAAAGCTGGAAGACCTGCAGGAAGCTAACATTATCACAGCTTCAAGCCACAACACGGCTGTCACATCCAGCTTCTGAAAGACAATTTGAGAAAATAACCATTAAAAAAATAAATGGTTTCTTCACTTTGTAATGACACATTCAGGTATTTTCCAACATTCTGCAAAGATGGGAAGTTACTTAACTTTTTTAGCTTTGCATTACTATTAGAGTTGGGTACATGTGAACTTCTCTGATAATCAAGCATGGGTTACAATACTATTGCCCTTTGTGGCAACACCACGTAGCAATGATATTGTTTGTACCGTGGCAGCATTAGGAATTCCTAGTTAAGGCTCAAACCCTCATTTTTCATGCATTTTTCCTCTAGTAGCACAAAATATTAAGGAAAAAAAGGAGATGGGCAATGTGGGACATGACAATAAAAAAAACCAATACATTTGAAAATTTAGTAATTTGGAAAGGTTACTTAAGCAAAAACAACTCCTCCCCCCCAATTCCCACAGACAAGGAAAACAGGATTTTATTATATTTTTTTATACTCCCACCACGGAAAGCACATCTTGTTTTTCTTCTTCAGAGAAGATAAACAGGTTGTTTCTATAGTGAATAGATCAGTCCAGTATAAACCAGATTTAGGGTAGGCAGAATTGAAGTTTGTGCACCAGTGAGCTCACAAGATAATACTGCCTATTCTGAAGTATAAGTTAACTTAATATAGCTCCTGCTATATTAACCCATAGGAGCAAAGCCCAACTATATGCAATTTTTCATTTATCAGCTATGTTTATTGGAATGGTAACAAGCTATTTTCAAAGTTTTCAAGTTCTTAGTTCCTAAATGCAGATGATAAACAAAGGAAATGCTCTTCTAAACAAGTCTGTATCAACAAACTTGCAAGAAACATATTTTGTTCCACTCATTCTTGGCTTGATTTAAAGCAAACAGAAGAAAACCCGTTCTTTGTTAAAGGGGAGTCACCCACTAATCGTATCCTTTCAGGCATTATATTCACACCACTCTAGGCCATCTGACAAAAGAGGGGGGGAAAAAAAAAAAAAGTATCTTGGAGTTATATAGCCCAGAAATTTATTGAATATTTGCTCAAATACATTCTGTATAGAACTGTTCAGCTCGCTTGGTTTTAGTGCTCCCAGAAATATCATTAACAGATGCACTGAGCTGCAATCACCAATTAGGAATTGTTATGTATGAAAATACTAAGCACAGGGCTGCCACCTCCCTCTGGCCAGATCTATGCCTTCAATTTGACTAGGCATCTTTGCTTCAAAGAAGATTCAATTTGTGTAAGTTGTTGCATCAAATGTTATTTAAGAAGAGCTTTTCACATATTGGTCTTTTCAAAATGGTAAAACACTTCAAGTATTTGCATTTGAAGTTTTCAATACTGGAAACATTTCGTCCAGAGTGTTTGCAATGGGGTCTTTAATTTTTTCATATGGTCTGCTTCTTCTAAATATCCTGGAGTATTTAATCTTCAGTTTTGGCTTCCATTTCCTCAGCATCATCGTCCCCATCCACTTCAGCATTTTCCCTCTCCAGTCTTTCCAACTGCCTTGCAAGCTCAGTCTCATCTGTGTCAGTAACCACCTTAGGCTGAAAAAAAACCAAAACAGAACACATGGTAAGCTGTCATTAAGAAAGACCATATATATTTGTAGGCTCTGAGCCTACATATAGAGCAAGAGATAAAATACACCCTGAAGTCACACAATAAACCCCTGGAAAATTATTTTAGAATGTAATGTGTTCTTACCTCCATCTGCACATTAAAGACACCTCTCTTCTCCTCAATTTTTTCTTTAATTACAGCCATGGCTTGATTTAGAACAGACAGTCCTTCAGTTCTCTCCAGTGTTGTTGTAGTCATCACATAACGAGGAGGGGCTATCAGATTAATCTGTCATTGTAGGGATTACAGGGGGAAAAAAGAAAAAAAAAAAGCAAACTCAGTAACAAAGAAAGAAAAATCTGAAAGGCAAAGTGAGCAACAATGTCCTAAATATACAATTCACAGAAGAAGAAACATTTTTTGATTAGAACAGCCCTTTCTAGAAGTATAAAAATTTAGACAGAAATAGCAGACAAAGTGCACAGCCTGTCCAATTTCCAACACCAACATCAGTTATTTCTGCACATTATGTTTATTTAGACAAATATTTTGAAGTGGAGAGAATACCCAATTTGCAGATCAGTAAACAGCCTATCACATAATTTTTCAAACCGCTAAAAGACTGTAACAACCAGCATGTTGAGTTTTGTTGTGGCTTTTTTTTTTTTAAGATTGCTGACTAAATAAATTTTCCTTTTGTTATAAGAAACCATTTTCAAAGGAAAGCAATAGTTCACGTTTTTTGAGAACACTTACTCAGTAATGCATGCAATATCCTAAAATTGTTGGGGAGTAAAACTAGGCCTGGGTACATTGGCCATCCTACCAACACTCAAACATTTGTGGACCAAACATTCCTTTTCTTAGGTAAGCCCAAACCACGACACTGACAACGAAATTTGTTGCTCCCTACCTAAGACTACATAAAGGAGCACTAGGTATGTAATGTGCCAACACTAAACTTTAATATGAACAGAATAAATACAGCTTCCTGAGCTTGAGAAGCCACAGCGCAGTCACAGCACACAGCTGAAGTGTGTTATGCACCTGCTAGAGAACAATCAGAAAGCAAGTACGTGGCTTCCCAGCCTCAGCTGTGTGACTGTGATAACTGCAATGGCACAATACTGGTACCTGAGGGCATCAGAAAACATTGATTTTGACTTAATTGCTAAGACACTTACTTTAATGGGCATGTTCTCCGTGGAACAGTTCAAGCCTGCCCTCAAAGCTTCTTTTACTGCATCTATGCCTTCATAACCATAACAGGCAACCTCAATATCTAGGACAGAGGAATACAAATAATAAAACTTCCAAGTTACCAAAAGGTGCAATCTTTAAAGCTTTTTTAACTTCAGCTTTAATAAAACCTTTTAGCATCTGATATTTATCCACAATGAGCACCTCAATATCTCCTAAAGCTGAGGAAGGTATTTCACTTTCTTGACTTGTAAGTTGAGGTAAAAGTCTTCATAAATTCTTCAGATGTACAACATTTTACATTGTGTTTTGAAAAGCCAAGATATGAAATTATATACCTACATTCAGGCACCTCTCACCCAATAAACTCAACGGGAATAGTTATGTATTTCACATTGAGAGATGAACATTTAAAAGCAATAAATATCAGAGAAAACGAACGATCTATCAGGAAAAATAAAACTTGAATACCAGCACATCCACCAATTCATGGAATTCTGTCAACAATTACAACACAGGCATCACCTGGGAGCACTGGAATGATTTTTATTTATTTTAAGGTACATTATATTAACATATAGTTAAAGCAATAGTTAGTTATAGGGGTTTGTAGACATCTGGAAAATAAAGCATAGACTAGTGCTGGTCACATCTGTAATGCCCTGATTAGTCTAAAGACAAAGGTTTCTTTACCTATGTAGCAATGGTGCAAGACTAAGCTATGCAGAGAAATTAGTCTCACTCCCAGGTGGCTAATAACAACCTGCTAATTCTCAGCTATCACAAACTAATTCACAGAAGAGCATCCCAGGCAGCTTCAGGATGACACTACAAGCCAACAGAAAATTTCCACGCTTGCTTTGAAGACAAAATTAAAAACAACTTAGACGATCACAACAAAATAGGCAAGATGAAGGAAGTAAGAGAACATGCTTGTCACGAAACTTTAGTTTCAAAACTAATGAAGCACTATTTATATTAGCAATTTCATTCTTCAGGGCAAACAAATCCCACTTACATTTTCAAAGTCTATGTTAACTCACAGTGATCTAAAGCAATAGGTAAAGGAATTTTTCATTACCTTACTTTTTGCACTCTCTTGTTGACTTCACTGTTTTCTGGATATGGCTTATCTTTGCTTCTCTCCACAGTAATCAGCAAGTGCTAATGCTCCTCAATATACCCTTGCAGAACTGAGGCAATTTCTCAGTCTAGTTAAAAAAATGTGACTCTGCTCCCCTGACTATTTGTTTAATGGCAAGCATGCTTTTAGGCTGCTCAGTTAGCTGTACAATTGACAGTTTTAAAGTATGCCTTCTTAAGTAGTGCGGTCATGAGCTTTTTCTGCCTGCCCTGAGCTAATAAGAGACAAACAAGCTCATGCATTTTGTGAACACATTAGAGACATGCTAGGCTTGAGCTAATGTGTCTTGCTGAATGGCTTGCAATCAATCAACCAGTTAGAAATACACTCAGAGGAAAAAGTCCAAACTATTTTCACATGTTCATGGACAAGCGGCTAAGACATATGGCCAAACTGTGCTGGCAGAGATCAATCATCCTGCTAAGGAACCAAGAAACTTAACACTTTGAGTAATGAAAAAGAATACTGTGGATGCAGTAGTAACTTTAAAATATTTAAATTCATTGTGTACTAGTGCAACATGGCAGACTGCATTATGTATCAGCACAAGTACTTAGCGTCCCAAGGAACCTGCACTTTGGGGGGGGGGAAAAAAAGCCAAACCACCTTGGACTTTGAGACAGAGCCCACATTCTGCAAGTAGCCTTTGGTTAAGGTGTCTGAATTCTGGAAGAATGGTTCCACTCAAGTATCAGCACCACCAACACTAGTTTTAACTGAGTTTATAGTTTGTAACAAGATACACTACCTTGACTTACAGCGTCAAGAAGTGTTCAGTGAACACCTGGAAAGAACTCGAACTCACCAGCTCGGATTTTGACTGCTTGGGGTGTCAGACGTCTGTTAATATTGTCAATCAATACCCGCCTCTCTTCCTCTGTCAGATCTAGGCTGTCCAGGATCGCAGGGTCTCTGAGCCAAGGAAAGCAACGATACAGAAGTTATGCTGAAGCAGAGTATGGCACAACATTAACTTCTGGTACTACTTCAATATTATTATGCATAATTGCAGGCAATGAAAACAGGGAAATTTCTTAACAGTCCATTGAAATACTGGAAGAAAATAAATACAGCTATTTCCAAAGTATTTTCTATTGGAAGCATTTAATAATAAAGCAGAAAAGTAGTTTACTCAAGCCATTCCTGGAAGGAAAGGTCTGAATTTTTAACTTTTTGTTGTTGTTTTAAAGAAAAGTAAAGACTTCTGTCCAGCTCCATTTGTACATGATACACACAGTGAGAAATATCTAGCTGTTTGGTATTTATGTTCCTTCCAATGTGAAGATAAACCCACACTGCATGAAAGAGAATCCATGATGAATCTAAGGTTTTTGAATTATTTTAATGTTTCATTCAAATGCAAGATTTTTGTCATTCTGCACAGTAACCTAGACTCATTCTATGTTATTATGTACTGCTTTTGAACGGTGACTGGATCACAGACAGACACTTCTCTGCTGGCTACATTCTTGGCTAAAGAAACAGTAAAGGATTTTTAGATCACAAGCTAATAGTTTAAAATCCAGAGATGACAGAGGCAAACTCCTCTGATGTTTATCCATATAAATTAGCAGCTTTTGTTTGAAGAAGTGCTGTCAATTCTCTTTATTGCTGTTAAATTAACAATTTTATCCAAAATGTATCTGAAACAGACATCATAACCGAAAAGCTCCTCACAAAAATTGTTCCTGTTCTTCAGAGACAGGAGTTTCAGTTCTCTGAAAAGCAATATCAGATCACCTACAATACTACTAGCAGACAAACATGAACTAATATGGCCCAAAACCCAGAGGCAATACTGGAGACTGGTCTCTACTGATAAAAAAATGTCATCTTTCATTTTATATACTGAGTATAGACAGTAGAAGGGCCAAACATAAGCTAACGCGATTCAGAAATATGAAAGATTTTTTTACATATCAAAAACATGAACCCATATGGCAGAAGTGATTTATTGGACATGCAAATTCTGCTTCTTCATTTACAATGTATTCTGTTAAATCTTTGGGTTGATTTTATGAGCATTTGGTAGGTGTTCAACATATAGGTCCTGGATGTGCAATTTTTACTGATCGGGGGTAAACATAGTTTAAAATTTTGCCACCGGTATCCTGCTGTGTGAAAGCCCTAAACCCTAATCCTCAGTAACACGTAATTTCTAAAATTTTATTACTGCCACCTAGTGTTCAACTCCAGTTAACCACCCATAAGTTTATGTGCCATAAAAGAGCAAAATTGGAAATGTTTATTGAGAAATCTATTTTTGGATTGCCAATTTCATGATAGACTCTTTAGAGGGAAACCATACAGGCTAGTTCTGAAAGAAAATTAAAATACCAGACTTCATAAAAAATTAATGCAAACCTATCTCATTGGATATTCCCTTAGCATCATAATTTCCATCTCTTTCTGTTCATAATTCCATTTCTGAGTTCATGATCCCAATTCCATTCTTTAAGTTTGGAAGTATAGAGAAGTAACAAGTATGCTGCATTTAAAGAATAAAAACTCTGACGGTCAGCTGTGAGCAGAAATATCTTCAGCCACAGAGGTGGTTACTTTTAATAACATCTGCTTGGGACTAAGAACAGGCAAATTCTGACAGACAAACCAAGATCAGTGCTGCTGCTTCTGTTAGAAATGTCACTGGCTCACCTGTAGCAATAGAAATGTCTCCAGTATTTGTAATCACACGTTTCTTTTACACTTAAAACATAGTATTCAGCAATGCCTCAGCATCTCTCCACATCAAATTAAATTACTGCTTTTAAAAGCCTTACATACACAGAGAGGCAGATTAAAAGACAGATAAATTGAGCATTTGCGAACTTGAAGAAAGCAATCAGACAAGAAACCTACAATAAGCAACTGGAAGACCGATGTCAAAATTTACTAAGTTTAGTTGACAGCACATTCTACAACTCTAAAAAAAAATCTAAAACAGACCTCAAAAAGAGCATTATGATGGATCTATTCCAGGAAATACTCCTCTGTAATTATGAAATAAACCCCTAGAAGTAGAAAAGATGTCCTTACGAGACTGCATGCTTGAATGCATCATAAGCACCATATCCCGGTCTTTTGTACTTGTCATCAAACACCCAGGCAGTTCTCTGGAACAGACTCTCAAGCTGCTCATCCTTAGTGTACTCCAAGACTTCAGCAACGTGGCGAAGGATGCTGTAAACCTTGAACACAAAAGAGGTGTTCAAAAAACCCAAAACAAATACCAAAACCAAAGAAAAATTTAGAGTCAAAAGTAGTATTTAATGGTAAGCCGCCTGCTCAGAAGCGTAAGACCACACAGCTGTAAGGGTGGGAGTCAATGCCTTTAACTACCTGCATGCCATTTCAGTAAAATTTGTGCTAAACCAGCATATCCTTTTGGATTTCTGAGCATTTAAATGTACCCCTTTACATCACAAATTTTCAACTGACATCTTACTTGATCTGTTGATTAATGAAGAATCAGCTTACCAGAGCACTCACGAACAGTTGAACTGGTTATATATATTTGCACAGGTAAATGATAATTAGAGTATGCTTAATAAATTAGAACAATACTTTATTTTCATATCATCTTATGTCTACGCATTTTGGTTGCTCAGGAAAGAAGCTGGCAATGCACAGTGCCTGAATACAGGAAAGGAACTTACAGTCTTCGATTTTGTGAATTTGTCTTCACATTTGATCGCCTCCTCTGGAGAAACTCTTCTTTTTGACAAGTCAATATAACCTATTGGGGAAAACCATTTTGAAAGTGTCAGGCATTGTGCAAACTACATTTAACTGCTTCAAAAGTCTAACTGGTGCATAAAGAACCAGAGTATCTTGCCTACAATATCTCTCGGTTGCTACAGAGAGTAACATAACGAAACCTTAATGAATTTTATCCAATCCTGATCCAAATTATGGTATTAAATTATTCTTTCAACTGTAAATACTTGCAATAGTAAATCTTTTGTATGGCATTCTTTAAAAGTACTACCTTAATGTTTTCTCTGCAAACCTGGAAGAAATATTTCAACAATCAGTGGTCCATTTTTATGCTGCTGTATACAGTTCCACTTCACTACAGTTTGTTGCTCAAACATTGAGCTGATGAGGACACCCTTAAGTAAGTCTTTACCGATGTGATTGACCTTCATTAACCCAATACCCAAAAGACACAGAGGAAGAATGGTCACAAATATCAGATGGCACAATGATGGTCTATTTTGCTTAAGCGTCTTAAAAAAAGAACCCCTGGCAAAATCAAGGAATATGCAAGTCACATAGTTTATCAGCACTTCTCTATGAATTCAGTCTTGACATAGCCCGCAGTATCCCCAGATACCTTTCTCTTTGTCGACTCTTATGACCACCACGCATTCATTCCTCCCGATACGGATGAGTTTGTTTATGGAACGAATACGCCTTCTGGACAGCTCACTGAGAAGGATCATGCCTTCAATGTTGTTGTACTCCAGCAGGCTGACATAGGCTCCCATTTCGGCAATGGACCGAACGTTGACCATCACCACATCTTCCACCTCTGGAAATTTATGCTGGTAGAATCTACAGCTTAGTCCCGGCATTCTGGCATTTGAGCAGAAAGAAACAAAGATTTTACTGCACAGTACATCATTGACTTCCACAAACACAGTAAAAATCCAGTATGGACTAGTGAGGATAGAGAGGAACACCGGTACAAAAACCTGCAAATTAGGACAAGGCTTATGCAGTTCATACTTAGGTTTTAATAGAAATTAAACAATACATTAGCTAATATTTTAGTATCGCCGCAACTGTTTGCTAAGATGCAAATTTTTCATTTTGAAGTAGAAAAAGCTTGCTACCCAGACTATATTATCCACTTAAATTGTCATATTACCTATCCATAGCTAGAGAGAAGAGGTTTCAAGTGGTGAAAAGGGGGCACCGCACACCTTGCGTTCATCTAAATTCAAGAGTGTGTGTAAAATTTTACATCAGATTTTAACAGGAGCACATGGGAGAGAAGAAACCTGCAGTGCTCACAAAGGTATTTGTATACACATAGTAAAAGAGAATCTGAGAAAGTAGGAGGTCGAACGAAGCTTCTGTGGTACTGAGAAGGAAGAGATTCTACGCTCCAGGAGGTTTCTTACTAAACTCAGCACAAAACATTTGGAATAATCCTGTAAGACCTGCTCCAGAGGCCACGAAAGCCTCTCTGGCAAAGAAAGCGAAGGTAATAATCAGAAATTAGAACTAGCCTGACATGAACAAAGCGCTAAAAAAAGAAAAAAACACCCCCCCAACATATTGCTAGTCAGTCAGGAGGAACAAAAACCCTGAAAACCAAGAGAGGATTATTTCCTTAAACATTCAAAAAAAAAAAGCACAAAATTAATGCTTCATTCAACCATAACTCCTTCATTTTCCTGATGATGAATCCACATACTCATCACTGCTAACCAGGTCAGTACAACTTCTTTTGTCTATACCTAGAAGTTTCATACAGAAAGTTTCCTATAGAAGTAGGAGCCCTAAGACACTGAGTCAAATGCATCACTCCATCAGAAGGTTTGTTCTATTCACCATTCTGAAGTTTTACCCCTGATCTTTACAGCAGTGCTAATGCCTTCCAGCTATATGAGAATTTAAAAAGAGAGTAAGGTGGTAATGCCAAGCGCTACATACACATGGCCATACAATTCAGAAGACTATGTCCACCCTTATTTCCATTCTTAACTTTCAGAAAGGGGAAATACAGACAAGTATTACAAAAACACTCCTCTAAAGGTTTCATATCACTTCATATAATTTGAAGCTGAGCAAAGAACTACAAGATTAGTAAGAAAAACTTTACACTTTGCTTTTCTAGTCCACTGAATGCATTTTAGCTCAATCCTACACCTACTTATGTGACACAGAATAAAGACATATTGCAAAACAACACACCCCAACCGCAGCAAGTGAGAATGGACAAACACTACTCTGCGCACACAGCGTCCCACTCCTCTCTCCACAGACACGAGCTTTTTATTTCGGCCTCCTGTCCAGGGAAGCCTCTCGGGAGCCACAGGCTGCCCACGGCGCCCGCGCTGGGAACCACCCTTCCTAGAACGGTGCTAGAAACGCCTCCGCCGAACCTGGCGCACAAGTCCCTCCGGAAACCGGCGAAAATGGAGCCACTTCTGACCAGCGAGCCCTCCGGCGGCTGGAGCGCGGCCGACACACGCAACGCCCGACGAGAGCCGCATCCCGGAGAAGAGGAACGGTCCCCAGGGGGCCGGGAAGGCCCCCTCTCTGCCTCAGCGCGGGCGGGAGGCGGGCTGGCCTCACGGGGAGTGCGGCCGGGGGAAGCTCGCAGCCGCGGAGCCGGCCGGTCCCTTCCACTCACCGCCCCCCCTCCTCCCCGCCCGGGCCCAAGCGACCGGGCCCGGCCCTACCGCCGCGCCGCGTCCCCTCCCGACACGGCGGGCCCGCAGGGGTCCCAGCCAGGAGGAGCGGCGGCGGGGCCGGTGCCAGGCCCCGGGGCGTAGCTCGAGTGCCGGCGGGACCCCGTACCTGGCAACGGCCGAGAGGGTCCCGGAGTCTCGCGCTGGTCCCGCTCCTGCCTCAGCGTGCGCCTGGCCCCGGCTCTCACTGCGCATGCGCCAGCCCGCCCCGCGCTCGCGCCGCCGCACGCCATAGGCCAGCCCCGCGCCCCGCCAGCACCATAGAGTCTCACGGGCCAGACAGAAGGCCGCCCTTTCGCTAGAGCGCCCCCACCCGGACGGGGCGGTGAGAGCCACGCGGTGGGGGACAGAGTCAGAGACCTCCGGGTGTCACAAACAGACCCGGCAGCCAGTGACGTTGCTTCCTCTCCGTCGCCGGGAGACACGTGACAGCAAGGGGCTGGGCGCGGGGCGGCTGCGGCGGCATCCGGGTGCTCCCTCCGCCTGCCGCGGGGGCGGGGCCGCGTCACGTGAGGCCGGGGGCGGCGGTGACAGCGGCGACAGCTGGAGCGGCGCCCGCCGCGCCGCCACCGCCACCATGTCGGGCAAGGACCGCATCGAGATCTTCCCCTCGCGGATGTGAGTGTCCGCCGGGCCCGGCCGGGACGGAGCCCCGAGAGCGGGGGCGGGTTAGCGGCGAGGAGGGGGCGGCGGGGGCTCGGGGCCCGGGGCCGAGGCGGAGCATTCCGGGCTCCTCGTCCCAGCTGGGCTCTGGCGTGTTCCCTCTGCAGCGCTACAGGCCTGGGGCGGAGCGGCCGGAGAGGAGCCCGGCGGAAAAGGAGCCGGGGGTGCTGGTGGGCAGCCGGCTGGATGTGGGCCGGCGGTGTGCCCGGGGGGGCAAGGAGGCCACCGGCATCCCGGCCTGTGTCAGTGTGGCCAGCAGGGCTAGGGAAGGGATCGTCCCCCTGCACCGGGCACTGGTGAGGCCACACCTCGAGTGCTGTGTCCTGTTCTGGGCCCCTCACTGCAAGAAGGACACTGAGGTGCTGGAGCGGGTCCAGAGAAGGGCAACAAAGCTGGTGAGGGGTCTGGTGAACAAGTCTTGAGAGGAAAGACTGAGGGAGCTGGGGGTGTTAACCTGGGGAGAAGGAGGCTGAGGGGAGGCCTTATCGCTCTCTGCAGCTCCCTGCATGCAGCGCTACAGGCCTGGGGCGGAGCGGCCGGAGAGGAGCCCGGCGGAAAAGGAGCCGGGGGTGCTGGTGGGCAGCCGGCTGGATGTGGGCCGGCGGTGTGCCCGGGGGGGCAAGGAGGCCACCGGCATCCCGGCCTGTGTCAGTGTGGCCAGCAGGGCTAGGGAAGGGATCGTCCCCCTGCACCGGGCACTGGTGAGGCCACACCTCGAGTGCTGTGTCCTGTTCTGGGCCCCTCACTGCAAGAAGGACACTGAGGTGCTGGAGCGGGTCCAGAGAAGGGCAACAAAGCTGGTGAGGGGTCTGGTGAACAAGTCTTGAGAGGAAAGACTGAGGGAGCTGGGGGTGTTAACCTGGGGAGAAGGAGGCTGAGGGGAGGCCTTATCGCTCTCTGCAGCTCCCTGCAGGGGGTAGCCAGGGGAGGTTGGTCTCTTCTCCCAGGTAACAAGCAATAGGACAAAAGGAAACGACCTAAAGTTGCACCAGGGGAGGTTTAGACTGGATATCAGGAGGAATTTCTTCACAATGCTGCTATACAAGAGGCTGGCCATAAAGTGTTAAAAAAAAAAAAAAAGGAAGTAAAATGCATAAAGTACAGTGGACAGTCGAGTCATTTTCCAGATGCTGACAGCAAACTATTTGTCATGAAATCAGATGTCTCCTGACAAGGCTTAGGAAGCTGCCAGCATTGGAGTGAACTCAAACAAGGGAAGCTGATCTGCTAATAAAATTGCTGTTTTAATAATGCTATTCAGTTTCTCTTCAGAGCTCTCCAGGACAGAAAGACTTTCCCTCAAGGTGAAAGGCTATTTCAAATCTTGCATAAAATTGGGTTGATGCCTAGCTGTACTTTTTATAAAAACGTGCCTTGCAGGACAGAAAACCTCAAATGTAAAATACTAATTATTACCCCATGTATGAGCTCAGGACAGATGAAGTAACCGTTTATATGGAAATATTAATACATTACATGGTAAATGTTCTGTTTTGAAACTTAGTTCAGAAATAAATTATTGCATATACTGTCATCTGGTCTCACTCCTGCTCCTTGATATTGCTGTTTTCATTCAGTTTACATGTCCAAGGAGGCACTTGAGACAGTTTTAAGAAGCATCTGGTTTTGTGGGCTAATATGTCATTGTGGCAAGAAGGTGGTGATGTAAAAAGGCTTAATATTTACAAACCCTGTTTCAAAGGAGGGAATAGACCAATGGTGTGGATGACGTTTTGATAGAAATGTAAGTTGGGATGATAAAATAAAAATGGTCTGCATCTGCAACATTTTTTCATTTTGTTAACTGACAGAAAAGAATTTCACAATGTCTAGGGTTTTTTATCTGTATGAAGGGCTTGCTGGTATGAGCCTCTTCTGTACTGGGTATGATCAATTACAGAAGCTGCTCAGTCTCCTTGACAGTAAAGTCTCCTTGACATAAACAAGACTTTGTTTAATGGACTCTCAGAGCCTGTGAAATCTTGCTTGAACGAGAAGGTCAGCCAGTCTTTGGCAGGTGATGAACAGAGCAAACTAGTTCAAGGTGGTGACAGAGACTTGCTTGTTGTGAAAGTAAAGCTGCTTTTTTACTCTTTAACCCTTTTATCATAAACATTCAAAAAGTATTTGTGGTTTTCAGTTATAAGTATTTGGTAGACATAAATGGAGCTACTCTTATCACATGCTCGTAGATGTGGAAAGTAATGGATTCCACTGTGTAGGTAGAATCTTAATTACACTTATTTTTTCCAAGGTCAGAGAGGAAGTGTATAAGGCTTCTCTTCACATAGAGTTCAGTTGAGTATTGTCCTTTGTGTGTAGTGACTGTGCGTACAAAGTGGTAGCTTATATTAGCAAAGCTTGTGGTTTTTGTAGTACAGCTCCTGCTGTTCTAGTTATCTTATATCAAAAAGATTCTTCAAATTAAAATATGCTCCACAGCAGAGAGGAAAGCAAGGTTTGGATCCTTCTTCAGTTCCTAATTCCATACGAGAAACCTGGAAGTGTGCTACTGGAAGTAAGGATATACTGTGCTACAGCCAGCTTGTGATTATCCCTTTTACACTGATGCTACTTCTGATTGTCTTAAATAGCTTGTAAATATCCTGTGCAGCATATGAAGACATGGAACCATGGTACTTTCTGACTTTCTTGAAACCAGAGTGTATGGCTTCTGTATCTTGTTGCTCTGTAAAGTCAGAACACAGCATCAACAGTTATGAATACATGAAGAATTTGCTGTGTTGTCTGATTTTGATAAGCAGTAAAAGCTTAAAAGCAATACCAGTGTCACACTGAGAGTGGGCATTTGGAGTAGTTTGATTTCTGGTGCATTTCTGGTACTTGTAAGTCATCCAGAAAAATGAAAACTCATATTTCCTATTACGGAAGTGCTGAAAAACGACTCGTCAATTTTCCATGACCTTTGACTTTGCAGATAACCACCTCATAATTCTCACTGATGGTGGAGATAAATATAATAAATTCCCTTTATTTTAAATGGGAACATAAAATTCTGTCGTGAAGTGTCCATCCTGCATTGATGTTTCTTGGTTGCTTCATAATTTCAGTCATGTCAGCGTCAGAAAACTTTGCATAAGTATTTTTCCAAATCCCTTCAGATGATGCAGGACATTTTTGTTTATTCTTCTGTTTAACAGGGCTCAGACCATCATGAAGGCTCGTTTGAAAGGAGCCCAAACAGGTCGTAATCTCTTGAAGAAAAAATCTGATGCTTTGACACTTCGATTCAGGCAGATCCTTAAGAAAATTATTGAGGTAAGTAAATGAGAATTTTCTTCTGTTTGGCTCACTTTCTTAGAAATCTGTCTCTTCTGACAGTTGTGCACTCCTGTTCTGCTGACTTCACTAGGTAGGCTGGAATGTAGGACAACTTTGTGGATAACCTGGTTTTTGTAAGTCGTACTGAGGACAGATGAGCAGAATTAGTTTTCCTGGCTGCAGGGATATAGAATTTTTTTAAGAGTTAATATTCACCACCTTTATCCCTGCAGTCCTAGGCTCTGCTTTGTGTCCCAAGTTCCCTATCATCTCTTCTACGTAATAGGGAATTTGCTCTGATTCTGCAAAATACTTCAGGAGTGGATTTATCACGTTCTGTAGCCCCATTCTTGTTGCTTTACCTGGCTTGGGAGAATACTGCAGATCTATGATGTTTCCTGCATGACTGGGTACATGGTCTCCTTTATTAAAAAACACCAAGTCCTCCTTCTTCCTTAGCAACATGGATGACAAATGTACCATACTCGGTAGAGCCTGATACAGCTTGTTCTGTTCTACCCTCCTGGGTGGGTTGTAGTTGTTGTAGTTGTACTGTGTTGGCTGCAGCTGCTCCAGTATCCATGGTGATCAGTATTGTTTTGTTGCCATGCTGCAGGCAAGCTCTTGGCACTCTGCATCTTGTTTCCTGTAGACTGTCTAATACGTAAAGGCTCTTCCTTCTCAATAGTATGGTTTTTTTTTAGCTTCAAATGTGTAAAAATTGGGAAAAAATGGAGTAGGAGGAGAGCACAATCTCACAAAGCTACATACTCCTGTACATTGAAAAACAACTTCAGCTGTCTCAGTATTCAGTACAATATGAAGTAAGAGTGTTTTTCTACTGAGCCACTTTATTGTTGTGATTTAACCCCATGTAGTAGAATTTTATGATTCTGAAGACAGACAAATGTTTTGCCATTTTTATGAGTTTTACTCTGGGTCAGTGAAACAGCTGAAATATTTCATGTTTTGCCAGTCACTGTGAATTACGATTTGCAGTTTGAGAGTAAGCTATATATACGGGACCTTCTCATTCTTAAATTTGTGCTGTTCATTATTTATCCTGGAAAAGGAGTAATGATGTGCCTTGTGTTTGCTGCCTTTTTTTTTCCCTTTAAACAGACTAAGATGCTGATGGGTGAGGTGATGAGGGAAGCTGCCTTTTCACTTGCTGAGGCAAAGTTTACAGCAGGAGATTTCAGGTGAGGATTGCTGATTTTGTGGATGTCCTACCCCTGGGAAAGAGTGATCAACAAATTGTTGATTTATCTTTCACAAAAAAAGTAAAATTCTTAAATGCACTTTAAAAAAGGAAAAAAAAA